TATATATATATATATATATATATATACACACACACACACACACACACACACACACACACACACACACACACACACACACACACACACACACAAATGGGAAAAGGTAAATATGAGACGCTGTGCAGCCGCTTGTCTTGTTGTTTCTCATCAGCCTCAGTGGAGGATGAACTTCAACGCTCACACTGTCATGGTAATCCGCTAGTCACATTCCGCAAACTGTGCACACAATTTGTGTGAGCAAATTCCCCACTGGCTGTTGGTTCTGGTGGAGTTTCAGTTTGTTTTTAACTGTTGCTGAGTAAAAGACACGAAATCCACACATGACCGCCAATGACCCAGTAGCTAATGTTATTCTTAAAACATGCTAAAAAAAAATGCAGTAAAGGAAAACTATCAAGCCATCCACCTCCTGTGTCTAAACACTGTTACATTGTTGGATGAAAGAGATGCACCCCACAGCGCTACCAAAATGAGATGAAAACACTCCAATCACATGAGTGCACTTTGGCTGCATCACCTGACATCTCACTTCAGTCCTTCATCTGCTCCTTTTACCAAACAGGGTTTCAAAGAGTGTCCTCCTTATTATCTCTATAACATAGCTGAAATGAACCTTTCTTGTTTTTACAAACATAACAGGTTTTTTACTCAAATTTTTTAAAGAAAAATCTTTTGATGGTTTCAGTGTCTCAAATGTCTCTGTGTGTGTGTGTGTGTATATATATACTATATATTGTGTGTGTAATTGTAAAGGGAATTTTGAGGTTTGGACCGTTTCACAATTTGTGTGTTTCAGAGAAAAAGCTGTTAATGTGTTGATTGTGGAAATAATCTACATATAAATTTATAATGAAAATAATCTAAAGCAGCGAGGATTGTTTAGTCAATCAACAGAAAGTTAAACTACACTGATGAATCAGTCAATGAATCGTTTAGGTCATGTTTTAAGCACAAATGCCAAACATCTGCTGTTCCCAGCTGATTTTAAAAAGGTTTTAAGCTTTTCAGTGTCATAAATGACAGTAAACTGAATACCTTTTAGATTTTGGAATGTTGATCCGACTAACAGAGAAATAATAACCACATTTGTTTTTGATATGTTGGAGACAAAATGATTAATCAAGGAAAGAATCGGCAGAATAATCAAAAGCTTTATAAATCACCCCACTCTAAAATAAACATCTCAGTATTACATCATGTAACATTTCTTTCAGCATTCTGACACGGTGACCAACCGTGAGATGTTTGTAAAACTGCTCGATTTTAATCTGAAATGCCATAATTGTTGTTATGTTTCTCTTATTATCAGGGTGCATCCGCTCTGTTCGACATGATCGAGTACTACGAGTCGGCCACGCATCTCAACATCTCCTTCAACAAGCACATCGGCACACGGGGATGGCAAGCTGCCGCTCACATGATGAGGAAGGTGAGAGATCAGTGGAATAACATGTCAATGCTTTCAACAGTGCTGCACCGGTTTATAAATAATAATCTAGTATTGAGGAGAATGCAGGCTGGATTCTGACAGACCGAACAGGATGAAGGCGGTGTTGAGAGAGGGAGAGACATTCTCTTTCCTCAGACGGACAATAAAATCAGTATTTGTAAAATGGAAAAGGGGAGTGATGGACGACACTGGTCTGGTTGTGTTTGTGCTCTTCAACCTTCAGACCAAACTGAGTGCAAACATTTTATGTTGTGCATTTTGTGTTCCTGACTGAGTTATATAGTTTTCTTTACTTGTGTAGTTGTAGTTTTGTGCCCAGGGGAGAGGATCGATCTTTCTCTGTTCCGCTGCTGGCCTTTCCTCCCTTTGCTCTTCTAAAGTCTTGCCCTTTACGGAGCTCTTTGACGTCCGTTATCGCTTACTGTGTAGAATACAAATGGGCCGCCAGGCAATACATGTGACAAAACACATGGATATGAACAGCTGCAGGTTAGCCTTTGTCAAACAAACCATATGAAGGTACTTCAGGTTGTGTGTCAGAGGAAGAGAGAGGATGAAGCTTTTCTAAATAACATATTTCATAGTTTGTTTTCTAATTCTATACTGTGTAATAGTTTACGGTGTGAGATTAAACATGCAAAACACATCCTAAACAAAATGTAGTAATTCAAAATGTTTATATCAGGTTCTAGATTGTAGAGTTTGTGGATATGTTTGGCTTGGCTGGTTTATTGTGTTGTAGCCTGGCAGTGCACCGCAGTGAGCAACACTAATCCGTTTGCCAAACCGCAAATTACTTCAGTCTTTGTTATTAATCTTGTGGTCGATTTATTTGTTTGCTTTTTAAGGTTTGGTTCATTTACTTTCCCACCTAAAGGGAAAATCGACAAATTCTCAATGACAGTTACTAACGATACAATAATTGTGTTTCCAAAAATGTAATGGTATTACTGTGTGTGGAGCTCTGATCAGTCTGATCAGTGTTTGTAAAAGGCTTTTATTCCCTCGTCTTCAAGCATCGGGTGTGTGATGATTAATGAAAAGCTGTCCAGAGACACCGGCTTGTAGATTGTTTGAGTCGTAGCTTGTCAATAAAAAAAGTCTCAGTCCCTACTTTCAGCAAAACCCAATAGATCTTATAGCACTGATGCTTTGACAAGTGTGCGTCCTTGAATCCCTGAGGTGAGGACTTGGAAACCAATATTGAAGTGCCTTTATCTGGGTGACAAACGTGCATACACATCATCTTTGTCATTCACATTTGCTCATTTGAGGATAATGTTTTATGAATGGAGTCTGTTGACGCTCTCATCTGGTGTTCATCGGTCTACGACCGCAGCTAACGAGAGGATTAGGATTAGCCAATTAGGAATAAAGATCAATGGAAAATGTGTGTTTACGTGTCTGGTAGCCAGATGTTGCCGTTCGCCCGCTTGCTTGCTTATTTGCACAACATAAAGATTGTTTTCATCACGTTAATGAAGACATTATTTCACACACTTTTTAAACATCTGATTTGGGTGTGCTCCCTTTTTATACGTATACACTAAATGAATTGTATCCCTGTTGGTGTTTCAGACGAGCTCTCTGCAGTATCTGGATGCACGTAACACTCCTCTGCTGGACCACTCGGCTCCCTTTGTAGCACGAGCACTCAGGATCAGTGGCAGCCTGGCAGTCCTCCACCTAGAGAATGCCGGTCTGTCTGGCAGACCGCTCATGTTACTGGGTAAGATGGGCAGAGCCCTTCCTCTTCCCAGCCTGCCTTCTGTGTTGGACAATCCCAATTTGAGAATATAGTCCTCTATCTCTGACATTGTGTTTTTCTTCTTCCCTCTCTTTTCTTTATGATATATATTTCTCTGGACAGCTACGGCTCTGAAGATGAATATGAACCTGCGGGAATTGTACCTGGCAGACAACAAGCTCAATGGCCTGCAGGACTCGGCCCAACTTGGCAACTTGCTTAAGTTCAACTACAACATTCAGATCCTGGACCTGCGCAACAACCACATCCTAGACTCTGGTACACAGCCGCGATGGAGCACTAACACACACCGCGGCATAATGGTTTTATAGTCACGGTGGAACTGTGTTGTGAAATAGATTTGTTTATTGTGCACCTCAGTACCACAAACTCCGATAAGATGAGAGTTTATTGATCCTAGTGGGGAAATTAGATCATCGCGGTAAAAGTAATACAAAATAATTCAATAGATAGAATAAAGTAAAAGCTGGGAGGCAAACAAAAGTATTACATTTGGCCATCTTTGTTTTTGTTCGCAGTAAAGAGCTATTCATTCGGATTTTACAGCATTATGTCGCCAAACACACTCAAATATCCCTGTTTAGAGGTCTGCATACCAGACTGACTAGTGAGCTAAAAATAACATCCAAGTCTTGGTGTAAAAATGTGTTTGTTGCTTTGCTTTCCACCAATACCGTATCTTTCATCTATACGTGTATAGGTATACTATGCTCACACAATACTCAACTCATTCTAGCACATTTCTTTCTTATGTTTACAGTAAGTGAGGTCCTTTTGCTAGGACGAATAATGCAAAGAGTTAGCTGCTAACGCACCAGACGGCCTCAAATTAGACAATTTATTCTATTTTTCATGTTTTGTTAAAATTGGGATATATTTAAGTTAAGTTGGATGCAGATGTACTAACTCTGTGCGTCTCCGTTTGTCGTCACAGGTCTTGCCTACGTGTGCGAAGGACTAAAGGAGCAGAGGAAAGGCCTCGTCACTTTGGTGCTATGGAACAACCAGCTCACACACAATGGCATGGGCTACCTCGCTGCTGCACTGGTACACACACACACACACACACACACTGTGGGACAATAAATCTACTCACACACACTTATCAGAGGTTTCAAGAGGAACACAATGGCTGTTTGTGTGTCGATAACAGCTTAGGCAGGGAGAATTCAATTTTCTCCTCATTACTCTATTAAAGAAGTGATCAAACTGAGCTCTGCTCTCATACCTCCTCTCCTCATGTTCGTCAGCTGGACCTCACCTCCACATGTACAGGTTGTGCTATAGCTCAGTCTACACCTGGAATGAGTTTGGTTTATTTAACGGATAGAGTTTACCGAGTAAAACAAAGAGATACTGACTGAGGATTATCTGCTTAAAACAAGATTTGAAGATATAATTTGCTCATGCAGCTTTTTAACCTCCTTAGGGTCTTGTTAAAGACGAAAAAGATAAATGACTCGCATTTGCTTTTCACGAGATAAAACGCTACTCAGTTTATTTGTGTAAACTTGTGAGTGACGGGTGTGCAGCTGATAGATTAATGTGCGTCACGTTAATACAGCTGACATTTTGTGCAGTCGGGTCTCGCTCAGTGAAGAGATGTGAACTCGGGACTCGTCTTCTTGCGTTACCATTTTGTTTATCTTGGTTTGATTTCACAGCATGTCCGGCACAGATAATCCATTACCAAAGTCACTGGTCTGCGGTTGAGCGATAGCGTCATTATCTTCTTCATTGTTTTAGTACTGTAGTGTTTACATTTAGACACTGCCGTGCTGAGTCATTACAGTTTCAGCCAGATTAACTTGTATTGCTGTTTGTTTTCTCCTTTTAAAGGAACCACAGGACATTTTGGAAACAGCATAAATAACATTATTGAATGACAACAATACAGCCTTTGCACCATGTTTCTTATTGACATTATTCCCTGTTTATTGATACTGTTTTAATGAGATGAGATCACATTTTGTGCAGTAAAACTATTGATCGGATCAGGGAGAGCGTAGGTGACTTCAGTCTGTGAAAAGCACTAAAAACATTAATTTTGCTGTACTTACTTTTACGTTATCAGCTGGAACCACCGTATGAGAGCAGTGCAGAGCAGCGAATGTGAGCTAACCAGTGGGGCATGCTCACATGCACTCACATGCACTCACATGCACTAAAAACACACACACAGCCGACCCGGCTAAGTAAACAAAGCAAGGAGAAGCTTGAATAACTAAACACACAGAAGGAGAGAGTCTTTATCCTCTGGTTAGGGCGACATTACTCCACTACATCTTTACATAGCAAGTAGTTGTTTGCTGCTATATTAAATAATAAAGCTCCCTTAAAGAGTTTAATAAACAAAAACAGACAAAAGAATGCATTTAACCTCACATATTGTTGTGTATGGAGAATTATGACGCAGCAGTCCTGTTATTTTTAGAAACACATGATGGTTGTTCTTCTGGATTATAAATACGGCATTTTTCTTCCAAGAAATCCGTCTGATAGTGAGGCTTGTGAGATGATGCAGGACGCACAAAAATGGCCTAAACGCATAATTTATACTGATAAAGAACATCCCGTGACTGTCTGACTCATAACCTTGCAGATAACCATAGTGTACTTAGTCTCCACATTGTTGGGCATGTAACGGCAATGAGTGTGAAGAGAAGAGGCCTCTACACTGATGAAATTAATAGATAAATTAAGATTTGTCTACACAGTAAATAAGAGCAGATTATAGACCTCAAACCGCTCAGACACTCACTGGGAGGTTATAGCAACAGCTAACAGGAAAGATAATTGTTCTTAGTTAATCATTCCATTTATATGTATATTCATGATTCCCCGACAAACGCCAGCTGTGAAGACGTAACTGCATTCTACCATTGCTAAAGAAATGATATTAAACATCAATATCTCTGTGTTTTCTCTGCCCCCCCCCCCCCCCCACCCATGCACCCAGAGTCTGGAGACTCTGAACCTCGGCCATAACTCTGTGGGTAATGAAGGGGTCCACAAGCTGAAGGACGGACTGATTTCCAACCGCTCCGTGCTCAGACTGGGCCTCGCCTCCACCAAGCTGTCCTGCGAAGGTGGGATCTAGTGCCTGGGGATCCAGTTTTTGTGGAGGACTTTTTGCTGTCCTGCTTTCTTTTGTGACTTGTTTCTTCTTTTTGTCTGCGCTAAAGGAGCTGTGGCTGTGGCTGAATTCATTGCTGAGAGCCCCAGACTGCTGCGTCTAGACCTTCGAGAGAATGAGATCAAGACGGGTGGACTGATGGCGCTGTCACTCGCTCTAAAAGTCAACTCCTCTCTGCTGCGTCTCGACCTTGACCGGGAGCCCAAAAAAGAAACTGTGAGCATGTGGCCAAGGCTTGGGAAGGGGTTAGAGGGGAGGAAGTAAAGGGAGGGATGATGCATGATAGTATCTATGACCTGTTTTTTTAGCATGTATACCTTCAGTAGGGATATATAGATCTGGTGCTGAGAGCTACAGACAGGATACAAAAGTCAGAAAGTATTGAGAGATGGACAAAAGCAACTATGACGTTTTTGTTGGATTTGTTGACAATAACTACAATAACTGTAACTACAATACAGAATAATACTAGCCTTAGTCTTCTTTTATGATTTATCGGGGCATTTTATGCCTTTTATTAAATATCTGACAGGAAATAAGGGGAGAGAGATGGGGAGTGACGATAAAGGTCTCCTTAACCCGAAGGCCTCCAGAGCGCTCCCAGCTGTAGCTTTTTAAAGAAAATTGTGTTTTGAAATAAAGATCTTACTGACTAAAACTGCAGCCTTGAAGGGCTGCTTTGATTTCTTTGTATTGTTGTGGTTTTCTGTTCCATGTTTGAAACATTTTTCTCGTGTTTTTCAGGTGAAGAGCTTCATTGAGACCCAGCGCGCCCTGCTGGCTGAGATCCAGAATGGCTGCAAGAGGAACTTCATCCTGGCCAAGGAAAAGGAGGAAACAGAGCAGCAGATGAGGCAGTCGGCATCCATGGCTGAAATAGCCACAGAGGATGGGACCCGAGAAGAAGAGGAGGAAGAACCATTAACAGAGGAGAGAGGGGACAAGGAGGTTACAGACGGAGGAGAAAAAGGTGAAACAACAGGGAACGAAGAACAGTCAAGCAGCCAGTCACGAGAGAGCACTGAGACGAGCATTCCTCAAATGATCCTGGACTCAGACTCAGACACTGAGGATGAGGACGATGAGGTGGTAACAAAGTCATCTTCCTCGTCGACCTCCTCCACTCGGTTTATCCAGACTAATCCTCAAACCCACACGGGGGTTGCACAGCCCCTGCTCAGTGCCTCATGTACGTCCTCGCCCCCGTCCGCCTCACCTGCTGCCGGGCCGAGTGCCATTTCCGCCATCACCGTCACAGAATCCGCAGTTCCTCCAGGCACCCCTCCATCTCCTGGTCGCTGTATATCTGTCTCTAGTCCAGGGAGGGGTCACAAGATCTTCATGGTAACTCGGGTGGAGAGCCCCCCTCAGCAGCAGCAGCAACAGCAGCTGCTACAAGTCCAGTTGGGTGTACCTGCAGCTCCCAGACGTAAAGATGCCTCAAAGAAGCCTGTAGACGGGAACACCCCCCCTACGGAGCAGACACAGCCCCCGCCCTCATCTCAAACAGCTACACAAACACAAATGGCACAAGAAGACGCGAAGGAGAGCTCGCCTGCTCCGTCAACAGACTGTACACTCACAGAGCAGAGTCCTGTAGCACACTTAGAGTCTGCACTCAATACTACACTAGAGCCACAGTCTGCAGGGCAACCCACAGAGGATGTGGTCCCTAGCACTTTAGATCCAGAAGTGACAGATACAAGTCAACCAGCACCAGCCATGCCTTCCAATTCCTCGTCAGTGCAGGCTGCAGCATTTCAGTTCACTGAGGAGGTGATAGAGAGCATTCAAAGCCTCCAACTTGAGCCCACTTGTGTAGAAGGAAGGAAGGAGGAAGGTCCTATAGAAGATGAGAGACAGGTGAGCACAGAAGGAGGGTATAAACTGTTCGGTGAACCGAGTCAAACCCAGACTAGTATCCCTGCGGTACAAACGCAGCAGCCGTTACCGTGTGCTCTTGAAAACCTACCGGATGAGCTAACATCTGCATCAGAGGACACTCGGTCGCCGAACCAAACAGAGGAAGAAAAAGAGGAGCCGCTTCTACAGGAGAAGCAGGACGAACCAGAAAAACCCAGTTTAACAGAGAAAGGCGACAGCCCGCCAACCCAAGAGGAACCATGTCCAAAACAGCCAACGGAGGCAGGTGAGCCGGCAGTAGAGCCTGTTCTCTCTGTCCAGACTGATAAACAGGAGCCATCTGTCACTCAAGGTGGAGCTCAGGAGTTAAATCCTCAAGCAGAGGAAGCCTCAAAGAGTCCCGAACCTGCCGCGACCGAGTCCGTGTCCCCAGTCAAGGACGAGGATTCGCCCGATGAGAGCTCTGCAGACGAGGACGAATGTTTCGCTGAGGCTCCGGAGGACGAGATAGTTGGTTCAGCTCTACCCAACGGCCTGAAGCCAGAGTTCTCCCGCCATCTTCTTGATGCCGAAAGCCCCAAACCAGGAAGCTGTGTGATGGAGCACGGTGAGTCGCTGTAATCACTGATGTCTGCTGTGTTGTTAGATAAATAAAGTCACCTCTGCGGTTGGTTTTAGGTATAAAAAATCCTGTTTGGTAATGTGTGTTATGTGTGACTTGTGTAGTGAGTGTCAGCTGTGGACAAGAGCTGGAGGAGCTGCTGCTAGAAGCCAGTTTGGAGACGGGCAGAGAGGCACCATGAGGATGTGAGCTAAACATTTATCTATACATATGTACAACATACGACACCTTTATCAGAAAATGCATCTCATTTAGGAAGTATAGGAGAACATTGTACTCAGCAATGTAAAAACACTAGTTATTTCTCAACCGTCCGTTGTAAACTACAGACAGTCCTCCTTAATGTTGGCCTTCCATACTTGCCGTAGTTGTGCATACAGTTCTCCTGAGCAGTGATTGTTGGCGACATTGCAGCCATTGGTTTTACAGCCAAATTAAGTGATGGCCAATCTGGATAAACTGTTGGCTCGGTTACAACCTGTGTGATCAGCATTGTTTTTTTCCACAATTAGTCGGTTTTCTGCTGATGTCAATGCACACTCTTTGAACGTTGCCAAAATGCAATACTGTGGCTGAATACACACTGACGGAAGACTGTAAGTGCTGCTGCCCTGCAGCCAGTGTGGACGAGGTTTAAGGCCGGCAGTTTAGGTTTGCATGTGCAGCCAAAGTCGCATTTTAATGACAAAATATGCTGCAAAAACAAGTGCTGTAATGGCTTCAGACTACAGTGTGTGCACACAGTGAGCTAAGCGGTTTTATCAGAAGATGTTTATCAGTCATGGATAGAGAGGTCTGCCAATATTGAGCTGGGTTTTACTACGTTCAGGAATGATTCATCACCTCTCTTTTACTTCAACAGGGACAGTGAGGACAAGAGGAAACGGCACTCGGTTTGTCTGGCTCTACTACGTGACTGGTTGCCCGACGATGTTTTTGTTGTTTCTTTGACTTTACCACCAACACAACCTTTCCTTAAAGGACAGAAGACCCGGTGTGACAGTTGAAGCTCTCTGAAAATATAAGCAAATTATGGAAAGACAATAGGACAAAATCAACTCCTGGAGCGTTGCTGTGACAAATATGGAACCCTCTACATCCACATGACATTGACCACTGAAACACACACACACATATGCACATTATGAGGAAGGAGGGGGAAGAGAAATAAAATCACCATGTTATCACTACATTTTGTTAATCTGCAGTCTTTACACACAAGCAGCCGCCTGCGGATGAGAGAGAAGAGAGCCGGAGGATGAAACGCTAACCAAAGACAGAACACAGACCTTTCCCTCTTGTTGCTCTCTTGTGTAGATTCTCACTGTAGTTGGGGAAATATCTAGCAATTTAAGTTTGTTTTGTTTTTGTTTTTTTTGGGGGGGGGCTTTTTTCTTCATAAAGTACATACACAAAGACATAACGTGATAATAAGAAAAAAGGGTTGATGACACAGTCGCATCACAGAATAATGGTGCTGAGCGGACCTGCTGGCTTTAAACACTAGTTCTGGGAGTAAGTCGCTGTCAAAGGTTTTTATATCTGAGGAAGCTGAAGATGTTAACGTGTCTGTTTAAATGTCAATGGTTTATGTATGTGTCCCCACTCCCGACCAGAAAAAAAAAAAAAAGCTCTTAAGGGACCTCTGCCAAAGTGACCTCCCCCTTTGTCCATTTTTCTCCTCACTCACTTTGGCCCCTCAGGGATCAGCGTCTCCCTCCGGTTGGTCTCCTCAGATCTGATGTGGAGGAGCTGTAACTGTCTCTCTACTTGCCTTTCAAACGCTTTCTGAAAGCGACAGTCGGTTTGCTCCCAGCTGAAAAAGACGGAACTTCTGCGGATGTCAGAAAGCAAGATGTCTGAGCTATTTACATCTTCTTCTTTTTTTTTTCCTCTGTTCTCTGCGACTTTCAGACACTATTATTATTATTATTATTATTATTATTATTATTGCTTTTGTTCAACCGGTCGTCGTTGTGTTAAACTCTTTCTAGAAAAGCAGCTCGGTCTCTGTCGTCATCTCTCCCTCTTCCCGTCTTCCACCTGGTACTTTATGCCGTCACCGCTCCAGCTCATCATTCATGTTGCCTTCAAAACTCACCACTTCAGATTCGGTCCTTTTTTCTGTTTGGGCTGCTTTGAGAAATTAGTTATTTTCTATTTATTTTATAGCTTCATGAGCCTTTTCTGATTTACTTTTCCCAGTTTCTTCTTCGCCCTTCTTCTTTCCTCATTTTATTTTTTATTTTCCTTTTTGGGGGTTGCTTTTAAAGATTAACCCCATGTTGATGTATATTTCAGATTCAAACTAGAGCAAATATCTTTTTTTGGGGGGGGGGCAGTGTAATCTGTGTTGGAAGGAAAGGTGAACATGATTGGATGGTTGACGATGATGAACACTAGGGAGCAGCACATATCTTAGTTCTCATCATGTTTTTAACACTACTGTGGGGTGACGCTGTGGCCACGAGGGGGCGCTGTGGGCCGTGTTGGTCTCACACAGAGGAAAGGAAACCACACTGCAGGAGCTGATGTCTGCCCTCAAATCCAACTCCTGTCTGGAATATTACAGAGCAAGAACTTAAGCGAGCAGCTTTACATGAAATGTCAACTTCATGTATGTTTGGTAGAGAGAGCTGCTTTGTATTTCCTGAAACGGGTACAGGCAAGTGTGTGTGTTTGTTTTTTGTTTTTCTTAAAAGGAGCAGCATTCAATCTCCCTGCTCCTTTCCACCCAACAGATAGATTGCCCCCCCTCACTGTTTGTTATGCTTTAATTTTTAGAAATTTTAATAATAATTTGTTAACTTAATTGAAAAGTGCTGGTAATCACAAAGAAATGTATGGCGAAATTTGTTCCTCTCAAATAAATGCATGTAATGACTAAAAGATGTGACTGAATGTTTCACTGTCTGAACTCTGATGGAAACATGTGAGCAGATCTGTTGGGATTGTTGGAGACAGCTGGTCTCTCTTAAATGCGTGATCTTTGAAACCTCGACTAAATGTTTTGCAGGAGTCGATATATCACTTCTCTAGTAACGGTAATAATTATTGAAAAGTGCAGTCCATTTAAAGGTGGGTTTTTATTTTCACTTTCTGTTGATCAGAACCAGAATTACCAACGTTTGGAAACGTTTCACATGCGCTGTCTGTAGTGTAGTTTTAGTAATTATTATTGTTTTCAAGTTGGATGTATACCAGAGCTTTAGGAAAATCAATTTTTGCGGTTGAAATTGCAACTTTGATGTTGAATACCTTTACATAGGTTTCCTGTCCCATGTTTTATTGTTCATGTATCTGTTGTTTGCTATATCTGTTGAAAAATCATTCCTGTAAAACAAACATATTTTTGATGACTCATCTTGAACTCTGGGTGGATACATTAATGTGTCCAATCAATTGTAAGTTGGTGTGATCAGACAAACGGCCATCAAATACAACCACACAAATCGTTAGCGTTTAAGATGGACAAACCTTTGTTCCAGAGAATGTGGCAGCGAGTAACGTGTTCATTAGCAAACTTTGTGGCAATAAGCAGCCTGCACTTTTCAGTTTACATGATGTGCGAAGCGGCACCTCGTTTTTGTTTGCATCTGTTGTCTTGGAGGCCAGGGACATAAAAAAAGAAGAATCACAGACATGTCTCCACAGCGGATAAAGACGTCCCGAGGCACCACTGCATCGCCTTGTGGTCAGTTTTGTAGTTTATTTTGCAAAAATACTGTGTAGCCAGCAGCCACATTTCTCCCCAATTTACATAAAGTTTTAAAATTTCAACTTTTGAAACCTCCCTACATGCATGTACACACACAACATTCTTTCTCAGTGGGGCTTTACCCTCATGACAGGGTCAGACCCAAATTCAGCCACGAAGAAAGAATGCTGCTTTTCTGCACTGAGTGCAGGCACAGTGAGTTAAATGTTTGATAAAACATACAAAATATTAGCACTCAAAGTGCAAATAAGACTGATGGGAATGTCATTTTCATGGTTTTCCCTCCAACAGGTGTTGAGATATTTCAGTCTGGAGCACTAACCAACACAGCCATGGGCCACGCTATTAGCATGACTAAAAAGAAATGTGAAATATTCAAAATCAACGTCTCTTTCCAAAAGGAAGATTAACAGGATAACAAATGCAAAAAAAACTACGTGCTTCTGCTCCCCAAAATGTTTTCTTTTCTTTTTTTTAATTCCCTCTAATCTTTTGTCTTGCAATACTTTGGAATATTTTGTATGTCTTTTAAGCCTTTAAGAAATATTCCATAAAAACAAAGAAAAGTGTCTCTCCCTTCTGTCTCCTGGAGTGAGGGTGTGTAGTGATTGGCGGGCGGGGCTCGAGCACAGGGTGGGAGCTCTGCTCTGTATGCGAGGAATTCCACACTGCACTAATCCACTCCCACCTAATAGTGCTTTAATAATACAGAGGGTTGGGAGACTTTATCTTCTGCCTCTCTTTATAGTTTGAATGTTGGAAGTGTGTAAAGAGCAAAGGTCATTGGGAGCATTTACAGTCATTTTTAAGCTCTCACAAAACATCTTTACTTTAACCAAAAGTCTCTGTTTCACATCACAGTGAGTTGAGTCGATGCGATAAAGGTCTGGGCTCTTGCACCTCCATAGTGAGCACCGCAGGGTTTCGGTTTCATTGCACCTGTAAAGTTCTGGTTAAAAATAAAATATTTCCTGATGCGTTGTCGGCCTCTTGTTCCTGTTCACGACTAATCCTACGGTCAGAGAATCTCCTCACCATCAATAAGAAACATGTGATTCAGTACCTCGGGGTGAACAGTTGAGTCAGTTGTGAAGTTGTCCTGTGGAAATGTTTTGTTAGATCCACGGACATCTCAATGTCCTCAGTCTATCAGTAACAATAAGCTGAGTCAGCAGGGAGTCGAACTGGACAACAACTTTATACGGGGATGATTTGTCAATGTTGTGTTTTCATATCGTTGCGCTGCCTCCAAGTGGATAAAAAAATGCAATCATAGCAGCTTTAAAGAAATCCTCCAACGATAAAGGAGCAGTCAGAGCTTCATAACTAAAACCCAGCTTTGTGGGTGCTGAAGGTTCAGACAGGGGTTAGGTAAAGTTAGAAAGATATTGACGGATTCGGACTTCCCGGTTCAATAAATCGTGAACGAAACATATTGAACCGGGAAGTCCGAATCTGTCAATATCTTTCTAACTTTACCTAAGTTCAGAGAGGTCTCTCTCTCTCGCTCTCTCTCTCTCTGTTAGGGGACAGTGCCAAGTGATCAAATGCTTCCTCGCGGGTCTTTTCTTTGCCTCAGGAATGTGCTGGCATGCTGATAGAACAGTAGGGATTTATCCGTGGTGTCAGCCCCTATCTGGACTGTTGATTCGCAGTCCAGCGGACTGCAACAGACCCCTACACACTGGCACACTAGAGCAGGGGCTCATGGGACTGATGCGTCACCTGTGGGGTAATAAATGCTGAGACACCAATCGGAATCTTCCCATCTCTTGGCGAGGATGTGAGTTTTCACAAATGTATACAAGCTGTTGCATGCAATTTCCCTTTAAGCAGCTTTCAAGTGAGACTTTAACTTATCAAGCAAGGAGTTGTTTCTCCTCCTACAAAGCAATAGAGTACACTGTTGCCCACTTTGTTGCCTGTGCTTCAGGGTTTTGCTTGGTCTGGTATGACCATTAGCTTATGTGGCTAATGTCATTAAATGTATACATGTTAAAGGTTCTAAATACAACATGCAGGTCCACTAGATGTCACACTGCCATCTCGTTCTTACAATGCTGTGTGGGAGGTCACTCTCTTAGTGTCTTTATAAATGCGGATATGGCCAACAGTTTCAAAGGGAAGGACTCGAATGCACTAAAAGGCCGCCATGATAACAAAAACAAAGAACAGAGGAGCTCGGATTACAGCACGCAATTAATCTGTTATATCTTTATATAAAAAA